CGGGCCGGGGAGCTGCTCCCGCGAGGCGGCTGCCGTCGGCAAGGGAGCTGTTTTTAGGCCGCAAGAAACAAGGGGCGCGAGTCCGCTTTGTAAAGGGCGACGTGATCCTAAAGTGAGCAGTACCGTTTTCGGCTTCTCTCCCGTCCCTCTTTGCTCCAGCCCCCTTCCCGGAGCCCTGCCTTCCCCCGCGATGGAGGGCGCTCGTGAGCACACACTGGGCTGCCCTGCGGGCTCAGCGAGGCGACAGGCCGGCGGATTCTCAGTAATGAGATGGCTGTCGCCTCCTGCGGGAGAAACGCCGTGAAGCGTGGGACCACAGCGATACTGTGCGTGTGTGTGCGTGTGTGTGAGTGCGTGTGTGTGCGTGAGTGTGAGTGTGTGCGTGTGTGAGTGTGTGTGCGTGTGTGAGTGAGTGTGTGAGTGTGTGTGCGTGTGTGAGTGTGTGTGCGTGTGTGAGTGTGCGTGTGAGTGAGTGTGTGTGCGTGTGTGTGAATGTGTGTGTGCGTGTGTGAGTGTGCGTGTGAGTGTGTGAGTGAGTGTGTGCGTGTGTATGTGTGTGTGTGAGTGTGCGTGTGTGAGTGTGCGTGTGAGTGTGTGCATGTGTGTGCGTGTGTGTGAGTGTGCGTGTGAGTGCGCGCATGTGTGTGCGTGTGTGTGAGTATGTGCGTGTGTGAGTGTGCGTGTGTGCATGTGTGTGCGTGTGTGTGAGTGTGCGTGTGTGTGTGAGTGCGTGTGTGTGTGTGAGTGCGTGTGTGTGCGTNAGTGCGTGCATGTGTGTGCGTGTGTGTGTGAGTGTGCGTGTGTGTGTGAGTGCGTGCGTGTGTGTGTGAGTGCGTGTGTGTGTGTGAGTGCGTGTGTGTGTGTGAGTGCGTGTGAGTGAGATGGGAGGAGGAGGAGCACCGGCAGTGGGTCCCCAGCTCCGAGGAGGGTGGAGGGGGCCTGGCGGGAGGCATTTCCTCTGCCGGGAAGTTGATCCTGAATCCACCGGGTTAAGCCGCCCGGCGGCTGCCAGGCAGGCGTGGAGTGTGTGTACGACTCCTGTGGCTGCGAGCATGACCATGACATCCTGATAGTGATGTTTCCGCGAACTCACACCAAATTTATCACCTTTAAAATACTTTTTTATCCTCACCTGAGGATATGTTGATTGATTTGAGAGAGAGAGAGAGAGAGGAACATCGATGTGGGAGAGAAGCACCGACCGGCTGCCTCCTGCGCGTGCCCGGCCGGGGATGGGCCCTGCAGCCTCCTGGCGTGTGGGATGAGGCTCCTGCAACTGAGCCCCCGCCAGGGCCACGCTTATCGTCTTAAAATGTTGGCTTCAGCATATCACTGCCGACTCCAGAACATTTTAAGGATCCCCAAGGCTCTAATGTAATACTCACCCCTTGTAACTAGACGGTCAAACTAACATTTCAGTTCACCTTTCCAATCCTATCTCCCGCTTAATGTGAGACACGGCGCATCCATACAGTAAAGATGTTGTTGCAATCAATTGAAGTTGGTTTCATTTTGCATCAAGTCAACAGCATTTTTTATCTTGGGCTTATGTTACTAGGAAAGTTAGTAAATATATTCCCATGACATTCTATGAAAAATATTTTAATTACAAAAAATTGGAAATTAGTATGAGTATATGAATGTATTTCTGATAGTAATTATAGGTGTTTAGGGGGTTACTGTAGCTGATGGAAACTATATTACATTGATCAAGACTGTACCTATATAAAGAACAACTAGAACACCAATCAAAAAAATAAATGCTGTGTCCAAAGTACAGCAAAAAAGGAAAAACTCAGAATTTCTAACAGAAGATCTGAGACACATGAGGGAACACATGCCACAGAAAAAGTTATGAAGAAAAACCTAGAGAAAGAAGGTGCCGTGGAAGATATTAGTGTAGTAGCTGAGAGCACAGCTGTGTCAATCCCCTCAAGTGACATTGAGTGAGCTACTCAACTCAAATATATATAGTATTTACATATAGTAATTTTATCTGTGAAATGTGGTCTGCCGTAGGAAAGCATTGATTTAATTTAAATATAATAAATATAAAGTGCTCAGTACACTATCTCAGGGATGATTAAAACATTAAAAAAATTTTTTCCAATTACAGTTGACATACAATATTATATTGCTTTCAGGTGTACAACATAGCAGTTAAACATTTATATACCTTCTGGAGTGGTAACCCCCATAAATCTAGTCCCCACTAGTTGTGATGACTTTGTGTCTCTCCCCCAGCATGGAGAAACGTTTGGGAGACAGGGGCATGTTTTTGGTTGTCACAGTTTACCAGT